GAATGTGGGTTACCCTACACAGGCTATCTAAAAGCATCCCATTATTTTTAGTGTACTTACCGACAGCATTCCCAAGAATGTAGACCATTGCACGCATGAGAAAAGATCCCACCCAGTAGAGTCCAATAGCTCTGTAATTGTCCCTGCCCAAACCATGTAACAAAGCCAGATGATCATATTGTAGTTTCAAAGAATTAGGTATATAAATACATTATCAAGCTTATCTTATCAAACAGTATAATATGGATGGGATTAAGTGGCAAATATTTTCCTTACTTAGTGATGCAGCTGTGGTGAATAACCTTGGAAACAAGACAGCTCTTACCCCCAAGTTATTGCAGCAATCATAAGCAGATACATGAGATAGTGCACGCAGCCATCCCAGTACGATATCATGTGCCCATGTGCTGTGTTGACATGTGGATCTGCCTGAAACACGATGTAGCTTTATCAGTAAAACAGTGAGGAAGTGGGGGCATTCATAATCTGGACACAATAGAGCAACACTTGCCTCTTTGAGGTAAAATGTCACAAATCCATCAATGATGTTGTCTTGCTCCAGTCCAATGATCAGATTCACCACACTGAGGAATGCATGCACTGCATACACTTCACAGATGTATATTTGATATATTAATTTCTAATTAAAGACAGGACAACTTGCAAACATTACGTGCTGCTTTAAAAATCACTGCTTTCTAAATACTGCAACAGGTTTTTATAGGTACAATATGCAGAAAGTCCTAGCTCAAGCTTTGATCTGTATTGAACACTTCCCTCGGTCGCTGTTGGTCAAAGCAAGAAACGTGCATTTGAGAAATCCTACCATAAAAAAGTGGATCTACTGGAGCCTTCTTTTTAAGCATAAAACGAGCTGAAATGGCCAGAATAAGAACTGTTGTGCACCAAGCGAAGAAGAAAGCTTCAGCACTGCATGGGGGAAAAAAGCAGATAAATGATTCTCAGAGTATACTCCTCGCTGCTGATGGTGGAAGTCGGAATTCCAACAGTTAATATGTGAACCAGTTTCCACGTACCTGTTGCTGTAAATGAGAGAATTGAATAAATAGCAGATGGGGATAGACATCAGGGAGAGCAGGAACACTCCCGTTCCTGCAGACGCGCTCATTGCGCACCGAGCGATTTGTCTGAGCGAGAACTTAAAATCTTAAATTAAACAAATCAGCCCCAGAAAATGTTCATGCTTAGCTTGCGAGTCACATTTCACAGGATGGGAGGAAAGTCAGAAAAAAAAAGAAACTTTGAGCTCGGCTCCCGCATGCATGCTCAATCTTGTCTGGTCTGTCTGCCTGCTCTCCTCTCTCTCTTTCTCTGTTTACCTACACATGCACTACACTCAAACGAGCTTCAGCTTTCAGATGGTGGGGGCGGGCCCTCACCTGGAAAGAAACGTAAAAAAACCCGTCTTTCTGCAGAACTTAATGTAGTAAATTAACAATTCTCGTGCCTTTCTCTTCTTCTTCTTTTTGAAACATTTTTTTGCTTTTTTTGAAATCTCTGATTTGATGGAAGTGGCGATTTTTTTCATTCATTCATATTATTCTATACATCCAAATACTAAGCTGGAGGGAATAGTAAAATAATACATTTAGAGGCTGTGCAAATGAATTTATATGATAGTCCATGAAAAATACAAAAAATTAGAAAAAATAACAAAATAGGACAGGGACGCCACAACTTTATATTCGTCCTAAATAAAAAATTAAGATGTTTTTTCTCGGGCAGCTTCACTGTGCTTAACAAAAATATATATTATACCATCTGTGAAAAAACCGGTTTTGTTTGTTTGTTTGTGTGTTTGTTTTTAACGAAGAGACACTGACACCCAGCGGTCAACTGGAAAACGTCAAGCAAGGATGAGGAGGTTTATAATAGGAAAATAAAGAAAAGTGGATAAAACAAAAAAAAGCACAACATACTAAAACATACATTTGGTGTGTAAATTACTTTTGTTCTGAGACTAAATTTAAACCCAGTTGTTGAAAACAATTATCCAAAGATATTATTCTTGAGAAAACCTAAATTGCATTTTTCACTTTGGCTAGTTTCTTGAAAACCAAATACATGTCAAATATACGATTTAAAATAAGTTATAAATCCATCATGTTGTTTTGTAGCGTCTCTTGTGATTTTTAAACCAATTTATTAAACATTGACATATTTTAAAGAAGAATCTAACATTCCTGTTACTGAAACCTATTCGACCTGACAAAAGAATAGACAAGCAGTGAGACCATGAGACAACATGACAAAGATGAAGTGGCACTTTCATCCATGTGTTGATAGCTACCACTGGTCGACAAAACGTCAGTCTTCTTTGACATATTTAGCATTTTCTAATCTTTTCTGACTGGGTTAAGTGTTTCACTAGCCAAAAGAATACAATTACATTTCAGCGTTTTATTTCTTTATTAGTACACCTGCATTTATTAATTCACAGTCTATTGCAATTCACAGCTGCATCTTTTTTCTAAGAAAACGCTAATCGTAGCACCGATTTGTAACACTGTTACCATGCATATAGAACAAGTATTACAAACATGTGTTAAACGCATATAAAATATTATTAATCAGTATTTTGGTGGTCCTGAGTATTTATTTATGTCATTTATGTCATGAGCTACAAATAAAAGTAAGATACCCCTTCAGCCATATTACTCCAATTTCAACCCTTTTGGCATAACATTTATAATAAAGTAATCATAAATGATTCTCTTAGTTCACAGAGGGTTGATCTATATGCTTTGTAATTGTTTGAATAACTATAGTGAATAGGGTATTCAAGCAAATATTTGCCAATAAATACTGAATGAGTATTTAGTACAAGGGACAATTTTTAACTTTATGTTTAATAATTAAAAAAGGGTTTTAAAAATTATAGCATACAGCAGCTAATATCTGATAAAAAGTTTACAATTGATGCCTGACCTTTATAAATAAATTTTTAATGGCTTATTATTTGTTTTTATAAATTACACATGTATTTATTTATTTGTTTACATTTTAAGTTTGAATTAATGCGCCAATTGTGTAATGATCAAAAAATATTTAAAAAATTAAAAAATAGAGTGTAGTGCCTCTTGCTCACACGTCCGTCCACGTTTGAATGTAATTGCTGCTTTTAATAAGAATTTTATTATTTTAATTCTATTCTATTTAACATATCAGAATCATGTTTATTGGCCAAGTATATGTGCAGACACATACAGGGAATTTGGTTCCGGTAGATGGTGGCTCTCAAGCACAGCAATGTAAATC